CAAAAGGCCAGATCGACTTGGGTCGGAACTCCCGACAGTCGGAACTTCTGACTTTTGTCAGAACTCCCGAAGTAGGGATAATCCCAGACACCCGATAAAGTTTCTTCAGGCTTCCCGGAAGTCCCAACACCTGTCAGAACTCCCGACTTGGGTCGGAACTCCCGACAACGAAGCATCTTTCCAGGGGCATAACTTCTTCATCCGGACTCCGAATTAGACGTTTCATATATGTTTTTTTGACTGTCTCGATGAGAGGAACGCAATGATGTAGTCTGTTTCATATTTTGACAACTTCACAAAATGAATAATTTTGGTTGTCAACCATTGCTAATATCATTCAGTATCATTCCACGTGCAACGAGATCAGGGATTCGTCTAACATCAAACACGACCGAGATTGCAACAATTCAATATATATCATGTGAGCATTTGTGTAATCACACGTGAGGAGGACTGATGATTTAATCTGTGCAAGTGCAATTTATTTAATTGTTTGGCATTGTGTTTTGTACGTATAAAGAGAAGCAGAGACATTGCATATCTTTTTTATAATCATACAGCAAATTAGCAGGCGCCGGCTGCTACTGCAAACCTTTCCCATTATACCTATATTTTGAACCGTCAATATCTCGTTTTAACTATTTATTATATTATAATTTGTTGATGTATTCAATTTAATCTTTGAATTTAATAGTTATCATACTATTAGTACATGTGTATCAAATTCCTGTGCAAATTTTACAATTGTTACTGATTTGTTAAATAGTTTTACCGAAATGTATATACTTTTTTTTGGCCGGCATACCCTTAACTGAAATTAATCATAGATCCGCCACTGTTCTAGAGGAGGGGATGGTGTTTCTACAGGAGTATGTGGATCTCCCACCTGGCAACGGACTAGCAAGCGTCGCAATGCATCACGTGACAGTCCGCTGCAAGCATGGCGCTATGCCCACGTGGCGATGCACACCTTCTCAGGCCACGGATGCGCTCCAAGAGCTGTATCAATGATTCTCAGTGGAAGAGCGGGTTTTTTTTGACCAATTCTTATGGTAATCCTAAGAAATTCCGTTCAAGGAAGAATCAAATCAATTTTAGAAAATCTCTCGCAGGTAGAGATCTTAATATAAAGTCCAAGATAGCACCTGGAGACACCGTTTCAAAATGGAATAATATTTCATTTTTATACTCATATATTTTCAGGCTCAGTTTGCCACGGATTGGTCCAAACTCAGCATTAGTCATCTGATGCAGAGGTTCAATCTTTTCAGCTTTGAAGGGGCTTGGAATGCTGACTGTAGAGCATCTCGGATGCAGGTTGTTCAACCTTCCAACTTTGAAAAGGAACATCACAAAGCAGGTGGTCATCGGAAGTAAGCTAAGCACTCAGCGCATTAACCAACTTTCAAGGAACATCACAAAAAACTAATTGTAGATCCGTGGGATTGTTGCAGGTGGCGCAGCCGTGCACACAAATTCGAAGAAGGCGGCTTGGAATTATTGCATTCAACTGTCGTCCAACCCTTCCAACTTTACACTTTCTCATCCTTATCTCCGTTCTGTTATCCAACGAACAGAATAAATGGAATCCAAGTGACGTCAGAGAAGAAAGAATTAATCGGTCATGGCACAAGCAAACGGCTGCCATGCTATTTAGCTTCCACGGCAAAACTTTTACCTTGCACTTTTAGTCTATTTTTTTTTGGCAAATGGATCTAAACAGATAAGCAGATAGGCTAAACGTGAGTTAAAGGGGAGGCTAAAGTTGAATCCATTTACACCTCAAGTATTGGAGGATGTGAATGACACCTCATTTTGCACTTTTAGCCTTTTTTTTCATGGATCTAAACATCTAAGTAAGGAATAAAGTTTAGCAGCAAAAGTTTAGAGGCCATGACAAATGGATCCAAACATCGTCTTACTTCAGCTTTTATCCCAAGCATCAGAAGCAAGAATCTACACGACTGATTGGTTGAGCTCCTCATGCTCCCGTTTCTATGGGCAAAAGGATTCGCTAAGGCCTTTTTTAAATCCAGGGTCTAATATTTAGGGGTGTCACATCGGGATGTCACATGAAAGTATTCGGATAGTAATAATAAAATAAATTACAGAAGTCCTCAGTAATCCGCGAGATGAATTTATTAAGCCTAATTAATCCGTTATTAGCACATGTACTGTAGCTTTATTGTAGCACCACATTATCAAATCATGGACTAATTAGGCTTAAAAAATTTATCTCGCAAATTAGTCGCAATCTGTGCAATTAATTATTTTTTAGTCTATATTTAATACTCCGTGCATGTGTCTAAACATCTAATGAAATATGGACTAAACTTTAGGAGGAGGAACTAAACAATGCCTAAGACAAGTGATTCTTCTCGGTGGAAAGTCATTCTCTGACAAAAGTGATTTTTGTGTTGGTACTGAAAAGTGTTTTTTTTTCTAAAGCAGGCTATATGCATAAACTGCTACAGTACATGGAGTAAATTAAGAGATGCTACTATTTTTTCACTCAGTTTATTTTAGAGAATCAATTCATAGAATGATAGAATTAGCACACAAAATCATCTCTCGATGAAAAATTGTTCGATAAAGTTTCTCTTGAATTTAGCTTGGAACCTGCTCTGAGATCTTTTGCCAAATAGGCCTTGTATATCATCATACAAAGAAAGAGAAACAAGATCCAGTGGCCTAGTATCGAAGCCAATGTGGTTAGAGGAGGAGAAATGAAGTTAGAACAATGACAACAATTAGAGCAGAAACGAGAGTTGAAATGTGTCGGTTTGGAATTATGTATTTGTTTCTCTTCACAAGCATTGATGATATTTTATCTGCAACATGGTAAAAAATGAGGGCAAAGAGACCATACAAACCCTAATTTCTGACATATTTGATCTAGGTTGTTTTTTTAATCCAATTTAAATGTGTGAGATTTTGTTTGAAAATTTGCAAAAACCAAAACGAAAATTATTGGAATGAACTCAAAGTTGCTCATTGTTCCAAATAAATCTAATTCTCATTTTAACGAGCCAACCGATTTGAAATTTGATAAAGTATATATAGAAATGATCAATAATTATGGTGCATACTAAATACTAAATACCATTTGATTGATTATAAAAAATGTTTTTATTATATATCTATTTAATAAAGGTATAAAGGTATAAATGTTCATATTATTTTCAATAAACACATTTTTTTGGGACAGAGGCGGTACCAGATTTTTAACTTCTTTAAACAAAGGTACATCTTTTTTTTAAAGATAACGAACAAGATCATGTTAAAAAACATAAAAAAACACTGATCATGAGGATTGAAACGTCCGTTTAAATTGTAAACAAAGTGACTTATTATCCATGAGGCTTCGTGAGCTATATCTTGCAATTCTTGCTTTACAATGGACACAATCAATGAGCATCTCCTGTCATATATGTCCATGCAGCCTGCAGCCCGACGACACGGCCCGAAAGCAAGGTTTTTTGGCCCAGCCCAAGCGGGCCGTGCCTGGGCCACACCCCAGGCACGCGGGCTGGCACATCACGGCCCGTGTTTTATTGGCAGGCCCGGTGACCACCCAAGCCTGCTAAGAGCCCAAGCCTCCTTCCTGTGCACAATAACCCTAAGGGCTCGTTTGGCAACCGTGGACCACCACCCAAGGAAGAGCTCACCCAGGCGTGTATGTGGTTGACCCACGGGGGCCACCCAATCCCCATCCCAGGGTCACCAGAGTGTAGGGCATGAGCGCCACCAGGGTCGCCTCTGTCCTTTATCGCGAGCGTCGCGAGGGAGCGTTCCCGGCCCCAACCGAGGATTTTTCTATCCCCCGTGGTTTAGCAGGGTTCGCCCGGGGAACATTCCAAACCACAAGCTTGCCAAATGCAGTTTAGACACCCAAGTGTGCCCCTCCCCAGCGTGGGTCTGATGCCATAGCTGGCGGGGGTTGAGCCCCGATACTCGTCGACCCCCCGTCTTTCCAAACGAAGCCTAACTTGGTTTCCCAATCCCCTCCATCCCCATGCCGCCCCTGTCTCTCCCCGTCTCCGGCGCGTTCACCACACGTCGCGTGAGTCTTCCCTTCCCGCGCCACACGAGAGACACGAGCCCGTGGTGCTCTCGCTCATCTCACTCCTCCCACGTCCCGTGCCTCCGCCGTGTCTCCCACACCATCTCCTCACGTGAGCCCACGATGCTCTCGTCAGCGACCACCTCCTCCATGTCTCCCGCATCACCGGACGCCTCTTCACGCCCCAGCACCGGCTCGAGTGTGCCGGCGGCCGCCCTCCTCCTCAACGCTCCCTGCGCGACTGGCCTCAAGTGTGTCGGCGACCGGCGCCACCCCCCATCGCGCGGCCGCACCCCACGCAGCCGGATTCGAGCGCTCCGATGGCTGGCCTCGAGCGTCCGCTTCCCCTCTCTCTGTCTCTCTTTGGCCGTTGCATTCTGTGGGCCATGGGTCGGCACGACCTGCTATTTTCGTCGTGCTTCACGGGCTGGCACGGCCCAAAAAATGGCCCAGCAGGCCGTGCCTAGGCCGTAGGTCAGGCACGATGCCTGCCTCGGCACGGCCCGGGAGACACGACGTGCCGTGCCGGCCTGACCCTCATCCGGCCCGGCACGGCCCGTTGGACATCTATATCTCCTGTACACCAAAATCAAATCAGTATACATGGTTATTTTTTTTAACATTTATACTTATGTACAAGCTGTCCAAAAAAAATGTCACCAACCAATCACACCATCAAATGGCTGACCCTTTTGCGCCTTTTTCTTTTCAAAAACTTTGAATATTCCCTTCGTCTGGTTGGGCTGGCTTCAGGTACCTATAAAAACCACCTAACCCTAACTCATATGATCCGATTTTTGGAGAAAAAAAAATTCGCAAAACAGAAATAAATAAAAGTGAGGGAGGAACGCGCACACTTCCTTCCTTCCTTCTCCTTCTTCCCCGCGGGCCGCAGTGGTCTGTCTCTCATCTCCACCTCTTCGCTACGCCGGTGGGGATGCGGCGGCTATGGCGGTGGTACCAGCAGTGCCTGACCACGCACCCGGTGCGCACGCAGGTCGTCAGCTCCGGCATCCTCTGGGGCCTCGGCGACATCGGCGCGCAGGCCGTCACCCACTACTCCACCCGCCCCGACCGCCGCGGCCACGCCAGCAGCCCCCCTGAGGTAGCAGCAGCAACAGCCCCAATCGGCCACCCTATTACCGCTCCCTTCCCGGTCCGTGCTCGTGATACGCGGATTCCTCCGCCGGTTCCTGGACCGGGTCGGGATTTTGCGAGCTGTTCCTATTCTTGGGAGAAAATGGGAATTTTGAGTGGCCTTCGCTAGAATGCTTGGTCTTAGTCAGAATATACTTACAAAAGATGTGTTTCACGCTATTTTATCATTTCGTGTTTTTTTCAACTTTATAAATGTCTGACCCTATCTTTTTTACTAGGCGTGACCGTTTTACCTTCTGCCTTATCCTCTTGCTCTGCTTCTCTCGGTCACGGCAATTTCTCTAATCTCTCCAGTTCTCTCTCCGTCTCGACCGGTGTTCGGGTGGGAGCCCGACACCGGCCGCCGCCGCCCGTCCGTCCGCCGCCGGCCTCCTGGTGACGCGCGGCCAAAAACCGGACAGATAAAGACAAAAATGTGTTTGCCAATCTTCGTACATACAGACTTAGTGGGGGCATCATGAGCGGCGGCGGCGTGGTTCCCGGGCCGCACGGTAGATTGAGGCAGCGCTGCGCGGAGGGCACAGGGCCGCCGCCATGGCCTCCGCGATGGGTCCGGGGCAGCGAGGCGCCACGGCATGAGTCGAGGAGGCTGCCGCGGCCACGTGCGGCCAGGGCAGGAAGCCCCGCTACCTGGAGGACCAAGAGCCCTGTCGGCGCTGGGAGAGGGAGGCTCAGCAAGGACAGGTAAGGAGAGAGAGGGGGGACGTACCAAACCGGCGAGCGGACGGTTGGGCGGGTGACGCGCGGCGCGGCCACCGGCGAGGCTCGCCCGCACCGCCGGGAGGCGGCCACCGGCGGGGCGCATTCGTGCCGCTGCGCTGCAAAGCTGGTGCGGCGCCGGGCCGGCCGCCTGTTGTGCTCCCCTGTTGCGGGGTTGCGCCAGGGCGAGGTGCCTAGGGAGGGGGAGACGGACGCAAGAAGGGTCGAAGACGCGGTGGCAGCCCGAGGCGGCGACGGCAAGGAGGGCGGACTCCGCGCGAACAGGCATAGGCCGCGCGTCACCAGGAGGCCGGCGTCGAACGGACAGGCGGCGGTGGCCGGCGTCGGGCTCCCGCCCGAACACCGGTCGAGACGGAGAGAGAACGGGAGAGAAAGGAGAAATTGCCGTGACCGTGAGGAGCAGAGCAAGAGGATAAGGTAGAAGGAGACAGGGGTAAAACGGTCACGCCTGGTAAAAAAGATGGGGTTAGAAATTTACAAAGTTGGAAAAAACACGAAATTGCAAAATAGCGTGAAACACACCTTTCATAAGGGCATTCTGGCGAAGCCCACAAACTTAAGGGCATTCTAGCGAAGCCCACTCCCCGTAAGGGCAAAATTCCCATTTTCTCCGGACCTGGTGGTTCCTTGAACTTTTGCGTGCTGTTGTGACCTAGCATATATCATAGAGTATAACCCGTTGTTGATGCCTAGGGGATGTGATGTTTTATCGGCTCGGAGGAGCTGTGGGTTTGATCGGTAACCTCAATCAGTGTCAAGCCAGTCAACTCTGAATGTGCGGATAATGCCTGGATTTGTGCCTTGTTTCTTCGGCTTGTGTGTGGTTACCAGCCAAGAAACTAGGGGTTTGGTGGGGAACACCTTGATATGTTAAATATTCTTCGTTTCTAATGCCAAGAGTCTTGTCAAATCTATCTATTGTTGTGGATATCTATAGACTTCTGTGGTGCTGTTAGTGACAACTTATATGAAACTGATAGTCCTCTTGTGACAATACGTCAGACATGGGATAGGAGGTCTGAATCGTCAGTGATGTCTGATGTCACTCCATTTGGGATGGTATTGGAGCCTTTATTTTGTGACTTAAGAGGAGTAAGTGGGTAATGGAATGACATGTTGAAGCCACCTCCCTCCCCCCTTTCAAAAGATGGAGGTTTGCCTGCTAAATTCCTTATTCTGCAAATCAGGTTAATGTTCCGTCCATGTGATTTATTGTCGACCTTTTGGTTGCTGTGGCCTTCAGGGCGGTTATAGTTTGCTGTCCATTTTGATGGGTATGACAAAATAAAGTGGGGGTGGGCTTCCTTGTATTCTGTTAATACGTGCTGATAGAGTTACACTTTTCATTTCTTTCTGATAGTAATGGTTAGTCATTTGTCTGATTGTGTTAGCTTAAGATGTGCTTGTTTATTCTTTCAACTCTGTTTGCATAGCCAGCATTGTGAGCTTGATTTGATTATCATCAATATGTGATTTACATAACATGCTTGGCTTCTTTCTAAGCAGCGAACCAGCCTTTGAATTACTTGTAGCTAGAGTTCATTTGTTATGTTTTTTCTATAAATAAAGTCAGTGCAGTGCAACTCAAGGGCTGATTATGTTTGCTATGTATTGGCCAGTTAGTTGAAACAAGATATTTATTGCTGTTCATGGTGCATTTGTTCAGATACGAGATTGGAAATTCAAGGAATCCTGACTGGCATTTCGTTTGGTCTTGGGGACCTCATATAAACTATCCGTGCCTCCATGGGCAGTCTATCTATTATTCTTTGTTTGGCTGTCTACCCCTAATTTCTTCATTCTTCAACTTCATTGTTACCCCATTCAACAAAACTCCGTTTCCTTTTACAGGATAAAGATAATATAGACAATAAAGACTTTAAAGTTGATTGGAGGAGGGTGGGCATCACAAGCTCCTTTGGATTTGCTTTTGTTGGTCCAGTTGGACATTACTGGTTAGTTCCCTGTATTTTATCACATGTCGTTACGTCTACCTGTTTATATGTATCTCTTCTTTAGAATCATAGGTTCATGTCTTCCAATTATTAACAATTAAAAACTTGTAAGCTGTAACCATAATCCTACGCTCCCAGTCTCACATAGTCACCACACATCACAGATGAAAGGCAAATACAGAACAACAAACACAGTAACACACTAAGATAAAATAATAAAATTATAGGATAATAAAGAAGATAGAGGATGTAATCCCGACTCTGCACTGCTGTTCTCCATTTTAGGTATCTAGGTGATAGTATGAGTGGCAGTTCATGGTGTCATATTATCAATAAGAACTTGGTGACTGCTTGAAATTGAATAGATCTAAGAACACATGATTTGCTTGAATACGCTGGGGTACTTTCTAGATTTAACAGGTTCATTGGAAACCTGGATATTTACTACTATGGTTATTGACTACTGGTGTAATTGAAAGAGCCAATGGATGCAAGCATTTATACAAATGTATGTGTTTCTTTCAATATAGTAAATCACAATATAATATTACCAACAGCACATAAATCCATTCATGACAACATGAGTGCACAAGTGGTTCTTGTCTCACCAAATTTTGCCCCTCTATTTAGTTATGTGGTCAGGCAGTTGACTTTCCACAAGGGGCAAGCATCAACTTTAATTAAGAGTAGAAGTATCTTGGGCTGTACTTCACAGTTGGACATCCTTATTTGTTCATTTGTATGCTCAGTAGTCCACTTCAACATTGATTTGATTTCCACCAGGTCACGTGCTGTAACGATGCTATGTTTTGGACAGTTAGTAGTTCACCACTGGACTATGTTCTGCTATATAAAAATGCAGATAAACAATATGATCATACAGGTTTTCATTTTTGGACAGAGAAATAATCTAATAAGATATCTGCTGTGGGAACGAACTCCTGCAGTCCTATTCATTCCCACCTTGACTTATTCATTTGTGATGAATTTTGATTCCACAATCTCCTCACTTATCTGCTGCACTTTGTTGTTCATTTGCAAAAGGCAGTTAAGATTTTGTGGTATGGATGATTTATAAATTTAGTGATTTGCAGATGAAAGCAGTTGTCTCTTTATTTTTAGGAGTAAACAATACGAACTATTGTCAATTGAGCTGTTATATGAGATGTTGCTTGCATCAATATCTGTCACTAAGGCTTTGGTTTTGTTGTATAGGTATGAATACCTGGACCGCTTCATCCGGCGGAGATTTCAGCCTAATACGTTCAAATTTGTTGCCTCAAAAGTTGCCGCAGATGGTTTCCTCTTTGGACCATTAGACCTCCTCCTGTTCTTCTCATATGTTGGTCTCGGTCAAGGAAGGAGCGTAGAGCAGGTGAAGGAAGATGTGAAAAGGGACTTCATTCCCGCTCTGGTGTTTGGTGGAACCATCTGGCCTGCTGTGCAAATCGCAAACTTCCGCTTCATCCCTGTGCGGTATCAGCTCTTGTATGTGAACTTGTTCTGCCTCTTGGACAGTTGCTTCTTGTCATGGATTGAGCAACAGGGAGACGCTTCCTGGAAGCGGTGGTTCACGTCGTTCCAGAAAATCGAAGACCAGAAGAGTAAGGTTTGATTTGGCTACTTTGAGTCATGTATGGTCTTTTGTCTGGATCAATACCTGTAAACTCTGGTTGATCCAGGAAGATAATGAATGGTAAAAAGGAGAAGTATCTGGCAGCAACTGTTTAAGCGAAATTGCGATGCCAGCAAAGCTGAACATTGATGTCGTTGTAGAGAATTCCTTTTAATCTTTGACGGGAGAAAACGATTGCTGAATTGCTCTGTTAAGTGAAGTGCCTGTTCGTGTGGCAGCAAACTGTTGGTCTCGAAGTGATTCGCTGAGCATGTAAGCTGAAGATGCTTTGGCATGCTCTGAATTCGCAGCATACCTGCACTCTGCAGTGCTAGAGAAAACCGAATTCTGCTGACCAGGTGCAGAATACCTGCACTCGGTAGAGAAAACGCCCGTCTGCATTCTGCTGTATCAGGTGCAGGTGAAGCAGAGCTTTAACCGTGAAAACACCTGCCGGGGAGTGCAGGTATGCTGCGAATTCAGTCAAAACACCTGATCTAATAAGGCGGATGTATTTTATTTGTGATCAGTCTAAACACCTGCCGAGAGCCAATCTCATTGCGTGATGAGCACTAACTAGACCATGATGAATGATTGAACGAAGCAATCAGTAGTACTGTGAACTCGCGCATAGGGAAACAAAAGGAACAAATCAGTTCTAGCCGGTGTTTTGAATCGTGGCCTATGGCATTTAGCGACCTGTCTTCTCAATTAGCTAATCGTTGGCTAAACCATTCTATAGCGGCTCAATTGTAAATGGGAGCAAATACCTTGACCTTCCTCATCCTCAAATAGCTAATTTTTGACTAAATCACGCTATAGCGGCTAAATTGTAATGGAAGCAAATACCTATACCTTCCTCAAACAGCTACATACGGAGCTAGCCGCAGCTGTTGCTGAAGATTTAAAACCCTGGTTATATATCAATAAAAAAATGTACAAATCCCACCCTTGCACCATGTAGGCCTGGTAGCCAAAGACGAACCAAAGACTCAACAAGACTCGGCAGCATGAAGAAAATAGTGGTGCTGTAGAAAGACAAGTATCAATGGATAATGCTCATATGGGCAGCAATGTCTTCACTGACTACACCAATTTGTTGATGATAGTTTCAATATTTCTCATTTTCAACTTGTACAATTAGTTTAAATATTGATTTTTTTTCAACTTCTCCTTTGTCTTTGACTCTTTGCAGGGTCCTAGTGACATTGTGGGCCTGGAATGTTTCCTTAATTCATTTCTGTGCAGATTCTGGTCTACTTGCTTGGGATAAATAAGTATACCAAATACTTCCTCTTTAGCTTTGTTCTAAGTAACGTCTTTTAATTCTAACCGTGTTTTCTAGAAAAATATATTGATGTCCACAAGTTCAAATAAATTCTATCAAAATATGTTGCAGGAAGTATCTAATAAACCTGATTTGATGTTCTAGATGTTTTCACATTTTTTTAGAAAATTTATCAAAATTAAAGGAATTTGACTTAAAAGCCAAAGTGAACTATAATTTGGAACATAAGGATTATAATATAATGTGGCTAGCGAAGGATTCTGATATTCATATGTTGTAATTGAAGGCCACCTTTGAAAAAATATATATATTAACAAATACTACTTATTATAGAATTTATTTAGAGAACGAAGTAGGCTGCATCTAGCTATCGTTCATTACATTTTGAAGAACCACACTCTGAGGAATCAAATGCACGTTGCACGTCGCATGATTCAGCTTACAGTTTCAGTCCAGAATGAATGGCAACTACACCACCCACGAGGTTCTCATATTCCACCCTCTGGAATCCGGCTTCCTGAATCATCTGAGCAAACTTTTCCTGCAAAGGTAGAAATCTGGTCAGCATGTAAGTCACTCACCCGTCTTCTAGCTTAACATCTATCCCAGCAAAAACACTGCCCGTTTTGCAAGGTACTAATTAATCTTGCATAAACCCGAAGATGGTTGAAGTAGAAAATGCCAAAAAGAATGTAATCATATGTTCATGTTTGTCGATAACAAACAAAAGTGCTATTAATTCACAGCACCATTACCTGATTTGGAAACCGACGGATGCTCTCAACCAAGTATTGATACGACTGCCGATCACCAGCAACCAGCTCTCCAATAGTCGGAATCACAGAAAACGAGTAAACATCATAGCTGAAAAAAAAGGCAGCAAAATTGAAAGAGAACAGAAAAAAGATATTGTAGGACATAACACTTGTTCTACTTTCTTCCACTGCCGATGAGAGAAAAGAAAAGCTCACACTGTTCACACAAGGCCCTACGCAAGGGCAACATTAGCAAATATTTTTTCAAGGAACAAAAGAACTACATCACTGCCCTTTTCCATTGACATTAATAGACAGGAAAAAATGATCACTTTCGGAAACCCTTGAACATTGTTTAACACAGTGCTGGTGGCAATTTGTCAACATGGTTGGCACGAATTGTGACTTTTTGGAAACTAACTTTGAGATAGTTGAAAACATTGTAGCCCATGTCTTTTGTTGTTTAACTTTATCTTTTCTATCTTGCATGAAGAAGAATATTAAAGGCATGATTGACGAAACCTACATGTCTTTAAAAACAGGGACATCCACATGACTCAACTCCAAGCATAGGAACCTGCCCCCTCGCTTTAGAACCCTGAAACAAGACAATTGATGTGACAGCAATAAGATTTTAGGACCATAAACTAAGCAAAAAGACTTGAAATATGCCAATTGAAGTGACAGTAATGAAATTTCAGATCCATCAACTAAGCAAACATGGTAGAACATGAAAAGCTTAATCCATGATACTGCACATGAAGACGAAAAACTTAATCCAAGGATACGGCGCATGAAAAATAGAGCAACGCCCTGTTCGCTTGAGACAGTGGGGACATCCAGCTCGCGACATACTTGAAACATGGGCAATAATAGCTGTTAGGTTTCTAAATTAGCCAACCTGTAAGCTTCTGATAGAGCTTTCTCAATGTGCGTCACATTTCTGATCCCAAATGCGATAGTGTAACCATCCATAGATCCATCCTCAAAACTCAGCTTCTGCATCTCCTTGTATCCAGCTAAGACAATGTTCTTCGCTATGCCCTGAAAATAAAAATCAACTGTTGAACAACATAATCCACACTTGAGATAGAGACGACAAACTATATTACAAAGTTGATGCTTGAGACCTCTTTCTGCAGCACGCTTTTTCCCAACATTTAGCATATCTGGATTAATGTCACAGACGTAAATGTGGGTGTCTTCTTCGGTTTCAGTAAGAGTACCCTGCATAGCTCTGTGACCCACGCTCTTAATTCTTTCCAGTACACGAAAAGCAACATCGCCTGAAGTCATAAAATGACATCAACAGTCATTGATTTTTTTTTCCTACTACAAATTTCTGCCAGTACAAGAACTCCTGGCAATAGAACCTTTCAGCAGAAAGCAGTAAACAAGAAGCATAAACAAGACACATGGTAGCAACTGAAAGGACTATGGCAGCATTGATTAACATTTGTACGGAAATAATGCTGGCCTCTCAGAAGGACTAACTACCAATATATACTGATTATATAGATAGATTGAATTGAAGATTATTCAGATAGAATTAATAATGTTTACGTTACTGGTAAAAGTTTGTGTTTGTTATTTCCATCGTGCAGCTGAAAGCAATGAGGGAAGGGGATGGATGTGCATTGCCTGTTCCACCAGCCACATCGAGATGCTTCATCCCCGGAAAGGGATTCAACTTGGAAATAAGCCTGAAAGAAAAGAAACAGAGTTTGAGTGATAAAGGGAGTTGGTTGGATTGTGAAGATAAAAGAAACGGAAAGAGTAAGCAGCTGCAACCTGTCCTTCCACAGCCTATGCAGTCCGACGCTCATGACATCGTTCATGAGGTCGTAGCTGGAAGCCACGCTGCTGAAAACGTTGCCAACCAATTTGCTCTTTTCCTCTTCGCGCACCTGCTTGTACCCTGGTGAACTACGAGATTTTAGGATCTATCTATATAAGCGGGAACAATGGATACAAGCAATGTGTACCGAAGCTGGTGGCGTGGGAGTGGAGGAAGGCTGCCGCCGTTGGGATGCTTGGGGCCTGAGCCTGAGAGGGAAGGAGTAGGCGTCGTTGGAGGCTCCAAGACGCTAACCTCCTTGCGGTCTGCATCAGGGGCGGATCTAGTAATGGGACCTGGTGGGCGCTCTTCGCTGGGGAAGAGATAGGCGAAAGCCTCGGCACCTGGCGTAGGGTGGCGGCGGCGGTAGCCCACCCAGTCGTCGCATACAGAGAGGGAGGGAGAGAGGGAGGGAGGGAGAGATAGAGAGAGAGAGGGAGCGAGCGCACGCTGTGTGAAGGCGACGGATGCAGCGACAGCGGCGGCGAACGGAAGGGAGGAACATGAGGAAGGAGACGGAAACGAGGACGGTTGGGCTCGAGATGGATGTTTTTCAATTTGCTACTCCATCTTTATCAAATTGTGTAGTTTTTCTATAAATTTGTTAGATATACATAATAAAATTACTCCCTCCGTTCCAAATTTATGGTATTTTGATTTTTCTATATGTACTTAGATATATACAGGAAAAACCAAAATATTTTACAATTTAGAACCGAAAAAATGCGTGTTTAGAAAAGTTATTAAAACAACTTAAAATTTAAAACGGGTGCAGTACCTCTAGTTAAAAACCAACTGGTCTTAACATTGTGGCACAATAAAAACAGTTAAAACCTAGTAACATGGATACATCTATAAAGACTACATGAGCCATGCATATTGTTCTTGGTCTTTATTCTAACAACAAGTTAAATGTTCGGTTCGGCTGGTTTGCTACCTTAAGTCAGCTCATGATTGAGGAGAAAGAAAAAAATATATTAGAATCGATAATGAAATATGGTCAAATTATCAACATGATTTCATAGAGAAATGGAAGGGAAAAAGCTAATCTGATTTAATACATGCACGTATATATCTGGATGCATATATGCACTTTATATTTCTATCAAGTGATCGATGAAGCGTTGTGTACATGTTGATCGTTGAAGACTTGGATAGGATTAGGAGTCTAGGACAATGCTAGATTTCAAGTTTTCAACATCCTGGATTTGATCTTAGAAGACGATGAACCAATGTTCGTGCACTATCCTACTAGGTTTGGTTAGGCTTGTATTGAATCTTGGGCGTCTCGACATCGACGTGGTAGTATTCAGTGGCTGCCTGCTAGCGCTTTAAACCATTCTATAGTCAGTTATTCACTGTCTAAATCAGTTATAGACATTGTTCTAAACCGTGGCCTATGGCATTTAGTGACCAGTCTCCTCGGTTACCTAATCGTTGGCTAAATCATGCTATAGCGGCTAAACTGTAAATGGGAGCAAATTAGACCTTCCTCGATTAGCTACATACGGAGATAGCGGCAACTGTAGCTGAAGATTTAAAACCCTGATTATATATTAGTAAAAATGTATAAATCTCACCCTTACACCGTGTAGACCTGGTAATGAAAGACGAACCAAAGACTCAACAAGACTCCGAAGCATGAATAAAATAGTGGTATTGTAGAAACATAAGTGTTAACGAATAATGCTCATACGGGAAGCACTGTTTCACTGGCTACACCTATACCATTTTGTTAAAGGTCGTTTCGATATTCCTCATTTCCAACTTGTAGAATTAGTTTAAATATTGATTCTTTTTCAACTTTCTCCTTCCTAGTGACATTGATGATATGTGCCCGTCCGATATTTCTTCTAGGACTCTAATTGTTGCTACGTGGGAAGGCTATTTTGGCTCCGTTCGCTTCGCTGAAAAAATAAACCGAAACACTGTTTCGGTTAATTTGTTGTGAGAGAAAAACACTGTTTCGGCTGAAAAAATAAGCTGAAAAAGATGGATTATAAGAGAAGCGGACAGGGCCTTCGTTCTTTTAGGGTGAATGTGTTTTTTTTATAAGTTGGGGTGAATGTGGTTAACCGTTCCTTTTGGTTTAAACTGTGCATATTGATGTGCTGTAATCGCGGCTTTTGATGGAGGTTATTTTGGTTGTTTGGAGCATGAGCGCTATAAAAAATATTTAAGTGAAATGGTTGTTAAATTTGCACTAAAAATAGTGCTTGTATATGTCTATTATGTATTGATGAATCAGACTCTGTTCTTGTGTTATACTGGGCTTATTTCTCCTAATCTGGGCCTTATTTGGGCTATGTTCTTCCTGTGACTAACTGCGATACGTGTGGAGAAAGTTGAGACGAAGCCGCCGAACGACCGCCGGACGGCAGCCAAGCAAAGACGAAGCCGAACCGACGAGGAGCACGGAGACTCGGCGAGCTACACCCACAGCCACGGAGATGCTTCTCGAGGAGCTGCTCCGGTGCCAGATGCACGAGTGGTACCCGGCCTTCCGCCGCCACTCCATCCGCACCGTCATCATCCCGCTCCCCGCCGCCTTCGTCCGGTACCTCGTCGGCCAGCCGGCCTACCCCGACCTCGACGCCGACGCCGACGCCGACGCTGGCACTGACGACGAGCCGCTCCCGTTTCTCCTCCCCGCGATAACCTCCGGCCGCCAGCCCTTCGCGCCCATCCACGCGCACCACCCCGACCCGGTCTCCCTCAACTCCGACTTCTTCTTCGGCTCCAGCAACGATGACGTCTTCGACCCCGACGCCGACCACCCGCTCCGCCCGGAATTCTCGGAGCTGGAGGCGGCCATCGACGCCGCCATCGCCGAGCTAGGCGGCGCCGCGCTCCCCAAGCTTAAAGGATGCCACCTTCATGTCTGCCGATGGCACGACTCAGTGCACGTGCTTCGCCGAGGTTGCCATGCTGCTCCGCTCCTCCGATTGTGTGGCCCACGACCTCGCCTCTGCGAGACAATCATGCGAGGATTTCGTGCGCCCGGAGGGTGCTCGACGGAATGCCCAAAAAGTTAGTGCCGGTGCCGAGGAAGTGGCTCGACCAAATGCCGATGAGACTCATGGCAGCGAAGGCACCAATGGAGTTCCAAGTAATTCAAGCAAGATAGGTGAGGAGGGAGGCAAGACAAATGATGAGGACTCTGATGTTGAAGCTGCAACAGAAGAACGTAACGAGAATACTTGGGTGGATGATGGGTTCCAATACTACCTCGCCCTCCGCAAGTAGTACCCAGGCCTACGCCCTGAGTCAGAGTTCCGATGTTTCGTTCGGGAGAGGAAGCTGGTTGCTGTGTCCCAGAGAGACCCATCAGCTTACTACCCATCACTGGCTGGATGGAGTTCTGAGGTGCAACCGAAAATCGAGGCTTTCTTTGATGAAGTGATTAAGCCACAGTTTGCTTCAAACAATTATACGTTTGATGTGTATGTGAGGACAGATGGGCGGCTCAAGCTGATAGATTTCAATCCATGGGGTGGTTATACCTTGCCGTTGCTGTTTACTTGGGAGGAGCTTGAGGAGGGGAGAGGGCCTGAGCTGGAGTTTCGGGTGGTCATGCAGCAGGGTGCAGTGAGGCCAGGATTGATGACAGCAGTGCCGTATGATATGCTTGATTGGGGAGAGGGGAGTGGCTGGGATGTTTTTCTGAAGAAGGCTGATGAGGAGCTTGACAGACAGATGAACTCACTAGATGATGATTCATGATTGCATTTCAGAAAAAAAAAGATGTTTGAGGGTGTCAAGTTTCCTTTTGTTATTGCTTATTAGTAACTAAAGTATACAAGGTAATAAAAAGTTGAATGGGGAAAGTAATAGTTTTTTTTTATTTTATTTTGTAGACTCTATCCTGCACCGATGTTCTCCATTTTTGCTAAACATATCTTGGTGGCAATATGAATGGTAGTTTATGGTGTCTTGATGTCTTCTAATATTTATGAGTACTTCAACTATTTCTTAAAATTGAAGACATCTAAAGAACATGAGATTTGCTTCAATAGTAATGATATTTTCTAGTGAATAGTGATCACTGGCCTTGCTGAGATTTGGACATTTACTATTATAGTTTTCTATTTTATTGTTGAAAGTTGGAGAGACAATGGATGCAAACATTTCTAGTGATAGATTTGTTCTTTCAACATGATAGAAAGTACCATATAGTACTGCCAACAGTACTGGGATCCATGCATGAGCAAGCTAGTGGTTCTTGTCTTACTGATTCACGCCTCTTTATTTAGCTGTGTAGTCAAGCAACTGAGTTGAGTTTAGGATTATGTACCTTGGGCTGTACTTTGGGCTAGTAACATCCTTTTCTGTTCATGTGTGCCCAGTAGTCCACTTCAACATCGATCTGATGACACATAATTTGTTGTGTTTTCATGTTTACTGACCTTATATGTGCGGTAAATAAATGCTATAATGGGAATATTTAGTAGCTGACCATCTGGCTATATGAATGTGCTGCTATAAATTATAATCATCCTGATATTCATATCTGGATATACATACTTCTTATATTGGTACCTGCTGTGAACAGAATCCTACTGCTCCTGCCTCACCTGGTGGCTTGTTGTATTTGTTTTGTAATTGCTAGTGAATTCCACAATTTTCTCACTTACCTGTTGCACTCTATTCATGCTCAAAAGCTGTTTACGATACTGTGTAGTGGGTGATTTCTAGATTTAATGATTTACTGATGAAATCAAGTCTCTCCTGATTTTAAGAGTACCAAATTCCAGTATATATTCTTGTCACTAAGACCCTGGTTTTATGCAGGATTAATTACCTGGACCGCTCCTTCCAGCGGAGATTTCAGCCTATCGCATTTGAGTTTGTTGCCTCAACAGTTGTTTTCCATGGTCTCCTCTCAGGAACTCTAAGTGTTCTCTCGTTCTTCCCATGGATGGGTTTCCATCAATAGAGGAGTGTAGACCGCGAGGCTTGCCATCCAGCAGTGCTACCTTGAACGCTGCCAAATCAAGGCCAAGGTCGCAGCACAGCCAGAGATGGGGCCTGGAGTTGCTGCTGCTACTACTTGAGTTTGCTGTCTGCCTGCTTTCCTTTTGCGGCTTTCCCCCGAGCGAGGGAAGGTAACTGTTGCTGCTTCGCACTAGTCTGCTAGTGTTGGGAGTGTCAAGTTTTGTTTCAGTTAACTACAAGGTGTATGCTACCTTGCAGCTGATGTACCTGTTAAATCTCTCAGCTTTAGCACCATCAAATGTTCATTGTAGAGTTGAATGATAGCAGGCAATAAGAATTAAATCTATCGTTCGGTTACTCTATCACTCCTACATGTGTTTTACTGCACAGCTCATGGAATATAAATTCTGTTCATGCAGTGGCTATATTAACGCTCCTAGATGATTTTACCAAATCGATGTTTAAAATAATATAATGCATTGAGTATTGTAGCGGAAATTGGATACAATCCAGATCACTCCAAGGACTTATGTGGCACCACTGCATGCAAGCACCTCTCAGGCAAATTAGCATGCTATGGGCTTATCATTTGAAGTACTTTCTGCAGAACGAATCCGCAGCATGTGGGTAGTGAATCCTGATGAAATTCTCTAGGCACTTCTTGTAAGAGAAATCTGAACTCGATCCATCTGAGGACGCAACATACAAGCACCTGCTGCTAGGGAAAGTTTGATGCTTATTGACCTGCAAGCAATTAATCAGAAGAGCATTTCCCTATGATTTCATTCCCATGCAAAGATGTACTGCTTAGTGCATACCATAATGTAGTTGCCCTGACCGGCGATCTTCTTCTCCTTCTCTGGATGGTACAATAGAATCTCATTCACAACGAACATCTCATCATCTCGAGAAAGCTTCATGCCATTTCTGCAAATTATAAATTGAGGCAGACTGTGAATAAGTGATTCAGACACAGAAGGAGCACCTGGTGTCTCAAGGTAACTAAAAAAGGCACTGTTGTTTACTATTGCAGTTACTTGGACCTTGTGAAGATCGAGCTAAACCAATCCTGGTCATCCTATCTTTCAGCAATTCAGCATACTACTTGAATTATCCTAGTTACTTATCAAGTACTCCCTCCATCCTAAATTATAAGTCATTCCAAGAATCTTGGAGAGTCAAAACATCTCAAGTTTGACCAAAATTATAGAAATAATTACAAAGATTTATGGCATCAAATAGATATACTCTGAAAATATAATTAATGAAGAACCTAATGATATTTACTTGGTATTGTAAATATTATTATCTTATCATATAAATTTGGTCAAACTTGAGATGTTTTGACTCTCCAAGATTCTTGGAATGACTTATAATTTGAGATGGAGGGAGTAGGTTTGTTCGTTGAAGCTGTGCATTAGGCCAGGAAATGTACCTTGATTCACAGATGATCCTCTTTACATTCTTCATGATTGGTTATATTTGTGCGTATATCTGCTGCTCCACTGGTATGAAACTACTGTCCCTTCCTTGTCTAGCACTGTTGGTATTCTGGGCTCTCCAGTTCCTGTTGTTACTGCCTCCACGGTGTGATCCCTCTGATTTCCACATGCCTCTACCGCCACCTCTACGACCACCTCGACCAAAACCACAATTCTTCCTGTTCCATCCACTTGAGCTAGATGATTCTGCATTGGCGAAGTCCTGTGCACCTGCAACATTTTCTCTATACCAACTTAGCTTGTTATCTTTGTGTGTCGCAGCTTGGCTCCAGCTATGCTTTGGTTGCTTTCGCGCATATACTTGGCCAGTAAACCGTCTCTTGTTCTGTCCTCTGGTGCTAGTTGATTCTGCAAAAGCTGTACGGGGAGGGCTCATTGGCTTATCATTTCTCCAGTTTGGAATTGAGTTCCATTTTATCTTATTTTGCATTCCCTGGTGTTCCTGTACAGTGCTGCACATCCCAGCCCTACCCATAAAATCATGCCTCAGGGAATCACCTTTTGGCTTGTCTGTCCATGATATTGGTCTAGTTCCACCCAAACATACCACCTCATCCTCTTGAACTTCGTCCTCTGGAAGCTGGTCAACGTCATACAAGCATAAACTGTGAGGAACATCTGTCTTCTGTTCAGTAGCTCCTATTGTTCCAACGGCTTCGAGGAAGTCATATAAATTGTACTCTGAGTATTTCGTTGCTTGCAGACTGTGAGACACCAAAATGAGTTCATAATAAATGAGAAATGGTTGATGATTTTGTGCTGTGCAATAAGAAGAGCATAGATAGGTGAAATGGCCAAATTACCTGGTTCTCATCGTTCCAGTCGATTTTGAAAGCTGAGCCAGTCCCGACTGCTGCATGATTACCCCAAGAGCAGGTTGACACAACACTAGCCAGCTGATCAGAGTCTACCTTCTCTGCACTCTTCCGGAAGCATTGCATTAGTCTCTGCAGCACGTTTCCTCATTTTTTTTATTATGGTAGGCAATAGGCACTGGGGCACCAAAATAGGTAACTCAAAAGAAATCTACGACACTTACAGACAGTGTAGCTTTCGTAAATGGTGCCTGAACCTTTAGGGACTGGAATGTGGCCTCATAACCAGATCTATTGAAGCCATGCAAGCTACCTGTGCAGGTCATGCTGCTTGCCACGGTTATCAGGTGCTCCGTGAGAACTGATTTTGTAACTATCCCAACAGCCTTGGAAAGGTGCTGAAAGAATGATCTGAGAGGAGGGCAGAACATAAGAAACCTTTCAATATAAACTTCAGTTGATCTGAATTAATCAGAAAGACAGAAGACAAGAACCAACCCGTGCGACTCGATCAAAGACGCAGGAAATGCCAAACACCTTTTGAACTTCTTGTATATTGCAAGGCGCAGACCTGGTGGTGTCAATTAGATCCATCACAGGGACACATGCATCCATTACTACGCCCCAGGTGCCACCGTTCTGTGCAGCCGCTATCTTTTCCACTGTGATTTCCAGTGCCAGTTCTCCATTTTGCTCTGCATTGGAGTTCTGGACCCAACATGTTAATTCTGGTTCAACCCATATCAACTTAGTCTCCTGGACTCGAGGATCACCTATGAGATGAGGCAAGAGTGGTTCAACAATAAGAAGAACTTCAAAAGGCATAATTTCTGCATAAGTATTTGGATTTTCAATTCGATGCTATGTCAATGTGAATTCTGTTATAACCTTTTATAATCGTATTCAAGAGTATAGGAAAAATGGTATTGGTCATCATCTGGATAACATTAGATTCAGATTGCCCTGAAGTGGTGCTTGCAGGGATGAAACACTGCAAGCAGGAAACCTGCAAGGCTCGCTCGTCACATATATCCTGGTCACACAGGTAATATTCACTGCAAAGAGAAGACATCATGTTAAGAAGTTTACTAAGAAGGTATGAACTAGAACCAGACAATTATGAGGTAAAAATTAGATTATTACTGACTTTAGCTAATAGGTGAACTGATAACTCAATATTAGTGGTTCTGAACAGTAACTGAGCATTTGAAAGAAATGGGAAAAAATATCCATGTTATTTCAGCACTATACTGTAGAAAAGTGAAGCACCTTGAAATCATTTCAGTTGTCTTCAAAATTTGCATCAACTGCCTACTTTTCGTTACATGTTTATTGATAACTTTTTGGCATGTTTGAAGAATATTTTCCATAGTTATCTCCATCTGATTCAATTGCTCCTGCAGTAGCAACAGAAAGCAATATTATTAGTGACATTTCTAAATAATAGTGGCAATTCTGAATAATAGATAAATATTATTTCAGAAGTTGAATGATATACCTTATCTAGGTGAATGTGACCAACAAGGCAGTGTGCTGCTTGAGTTGCTTCTTGCTGGTACCTGAAATAGGACAACGATTGGACTGATGACAACATAAGCTGAAACATAAGTAACCAATGGCGAAGCTAGAGCAAATTAGAGGGGGGTGCTCTTGCCTTCTTTTCCTGCTTGCGGTTTGGGCACTCCCGTGCCCAATGGCCTATCTTCCCGCAGTGCCGACAGGCGTTGGGGTCGACCTGCTTCTTCTTCTCCGAAGAAGCCTTGCCGCGGCGGTTGCCATCGCCACCGCGGCTGGAGGAGGCTGCCTTCTCGGAGTTCCTCCGAGCAGCCCACTGCTCTTTCGTCAGCAGGAGTTTCCCACTGTCTTTCGTTGCTGTCGCCTGCTCTAGGCGCTCGTCCACCGCCCGCAGACGGCCTGTCACATCCTCAATGGTGAGGGTGGACAAGCCCAGCATCGTCTCTATGGAGAGAGCGATCTGGATGTACTTTGCCTGCACAGAGTGGAGGTACTTGGAGACCGCCTCCTCTTCATCGATGGTGATGCCGTGGCTCTTCAGCTTGCTGACGAGCATCTGCAGGCGGAGGGAGAAGTCTTCCACCGTTTCACCATCCTTGAACTTGAGGTTGGCGTACTCCTGCTTTAGAAGCTGGGCCGTCGCCTTCTTTACGCGGTCGAAACCAACGCGCATCGCCGCAATAGCCTCCCACGCCTCCTTAGCAGAGCTCTTCGCCCCCAACGGCTCCCTATACTCCGCCGGTACAGCAGCGAGGATAGCCTCCAACGCTGACATGTCATTTTCTTCATTTTCGGTGCCCTTGTCAACAGCATTCCAGAGTTGTCGGGCTCTGAGCTTGACCTTCATGGTCACCGACCACTCTTCATAGTTGGTGCGAGTCAGCGTCGGCCAACTGGTGCCGCTGACCTCCCGCAACGTGCGAACAACGACCTCCGGTCGTGGCTGGGCAGCCACAGCAGTGCCACTGCTGTCGCCCATCTCTGAACCGCCCGTCATCGCCAGCGGTTAGTCTGGCGACGGCGCTTGTACGGCTCCGATACCACTTATTAGTCCACATGATCACCGGCTCAGGTGAGTGAACCACTCACCGGTCTTACCGAGCACCCGCTAGTGTTGCCAAGCACCCATTGGCTAAGCCGATCACGAACAAGCGTTGTCCGTCCCCACACACTATGGCTAGAGGTTGAAGAAGAGGGAGAACAGAGCATACACACACAATACAAGACACCAGCGTTGGCCGAAACCCTGTATGAGAGATGGCAAATCTGAACTCTCTTTACTGAGTTACCGTGGTAGTCTATTTATACAACTCTATCCATCTAGTCCTAGTACAGCGCACATGCTGCAACAGTAACTAGACAGCAGGGCTGACTCTGCGCCGGCCTCTGCCTGTGGCTACAGTGCTGCAGGTGAGCCGTGCGGCGCCTGCACCTGCAGCTGCTACAGTATCACAGCATGGGGCCTTTTTGGCGCCGCCTTCCCTTGCTGTGTTCACACAAGGAAAGCAGTAGATTATTCTAACAATGACAAAATAAAGTTTGTGTGAGGTGTTTGTAAGTGTTCTGTGTTAAAGTATATTTACAACTTCCATTGTTCTTTCTTTAATAGGAAAGGATAGGTGCTATTCATCTGATCTTTGAACTTTAGATGTGCTTGCTACTTTTTTTGAACTCTACGATCAACCATGGTTGGGAGCTTGATTGGGTTCTTTCAGTCGTGAATAACTTAACCGTACGAGAATGGAAATCGAAGGGATTCTAGCTGGGCATTTCATTCGGTCTTGTTGACCCCCTATGAATGATCCATGCATCAATGGGCGGTTTTATTAATTTATTCCTTGTTTAAATTTCTATAATCCTAACTACATTCTTCAATGTCTCTTCTATCTGTTCAGCAAAACTCTGTTGCCATTTCAGGATAAAGATGAGGAGTCCATTTCTTTCGGAAAAAAAGACGAGGAGTTCAAAATCAATTGGTATAGAGTGTACAAAACAAGTTTCTTTGGAGCTTTTGCTTGTATTGGACCAGCTGCATATTACCAGTTAGTTTCCTTATATCTGAGGGTGTTAGGTTTACTTTTGTTATTGTTTAGTAACCGAAAGTAATAATAAAGGTGAAGGGTCAAGTGATAGATGTATTTTGTGGACCCCATCCCACACTGATGTTCTCCATTTTAGCTAACCATTTTAGAAAATATAGGAGACATCTAAAGAACATGTGGATTTGTTTTAATAGTAAAGATAGTTTCTAGCTCTCACAGGCCTTGCTGAGATTTGGGTGTTTACTATTATTATGTTTTTTGTTAGTGGAATTGGGAGAGACAATGCAAACATTTGCAGTGACAGATTTCATTAAGAGGAAGTAGAGTTGTTAAAGTACAAAGCTTAGTGGTATTCCCGGGATTACCACACCAAACACAACAACCCAAATTAACAATCAAAGACTATGAAAACACACTAAATGGCGACCTAAGGAAGCAACTGGCACAGGTGCCTGAAACCCGCCATGTCCCAAAGCTTACACTGCTCAACGATGGCCTGTAAGAAAGTTTGTGTTGTTCTAGACTCATTTCTGAACGTTCTCTCGTTCTGTTCCTTCCAAAGCAGCCATCCAAACAGCATAACCGGTGGGTCGAATCCCTTCGTTCCTAGAAACTTTGGGATCCTATATTATTGGGATCCATGCATGAGAGCATATGCTAGCAATTCTTGTGTCACCTAATCTTGCCTGGTTATTTAGCTGTGCAGTCAAGCAACTGAGTTGAGTGCATAAGGGGCAACCACGGAGTTTAGGACTTATCAGTTGAAGTAGCTTGGGCTGCACTTTTACAGTAGTAACATCCTTTTTCCATTCATCTGTGTTTTACCCAGTAGGCCAGCAGTAGCAACCATCGATTTTAGGACCGGATGGGTGATTTCTAGATGCAGTGATTTGCTGTTGAAATCAAGTTTCGATCTCTTGATTTTAGGAGTAGGAGATTCCAGTATCTGTATTCTATTCTTGTCACTAATATATAACAATAAGGGCTTGGTGTTATTGTAGGTTTAATAAGAGGCTGTGGAGCTCCATTACTACAGCTGAAGTTGTTAGCTCAGCAGCTGGTGACGGTCTCTGGGCAAAGTCTTGCCACGTTCTTCCCGCTCATGGGTTCCACGCAAAGGACTAGGAGTGTGGAGCAGGACAGGGAAGACGTGAAGAGGGGTTTCACCCCTGCTCTAGTGCTCTGGGCGGAGCTGTGCTGCCAGCCGTGCTGTTCACAAACTGGCGCTTCGTCCCCGTGCCATACCAGCTTCACTGTGCCAGCTTGTTCGCCCTGGTAGGCAGCTGTTCCCTCTCATGGATTGAGCTTGAGCAGCACAAGGTTGACGCAGCGGGTCTGGAAGATGGAAAGAGTATTAAGGTTTGTTCTGACGACTGCTTTTGAGCTAGTAGTCATGTAGTATGTTCGTATGGATCAACATCTGTAAGATCTGGTTCATCCAGGAAGAAAACGGGTGAAAAAAGACAGTCTTACTTGTAGCAACTGTTTAGGAATTTGGGTTGGCAGCAAAACTAACTGAGCATCGATCAGTCGTTGTAAAGAATCGACCTTTGATGAATTGCTGAAATGCTGATGCGTGCGATCGAGTGAGTGTAACTCCATACGCATATGACCGGGGGGAGTATATATGATGAGTTTTATGTCTTTGTGGTTGTGTGAAAATTCAGTCCATCATCGTTCAATTCGTTCTCTCTCTGGTTGTGGCACGGGGCATTTATTTAATTTCAATTCGTGCCTTCAGAGTTCAGATTGATTGATTGATGCACATGTCTGGAAATGGGTGACGAATTGACGATCGAGAACGCTTGCAATGCCAGCAAAAGCTGAATGTCGACGATGTCCGTCTTGTTGCAGTCCAGGAATAACAAGCTGGGCTGGGCACGCATGCATGCAACAAGGGATGAGTGAATGCCTGAACGGGGATCATGGACGGCGCACAGGCGCCGACGGAGCCGGGAAACGAGCTCCACCTCCCGCCTCCCCTCTCCGGCCCTCTCCTCTCGATCTACATATATAAATAAATGGCGGCCCCTCGCCGAGAGCTCACGAACGACGATCCTCTCCGTCCCCAAGCAAAAAGCTAGACGTAGAACGAATAGAAGAATGACGCATCAGGCTAACCAGTCGACAATGGTGGCGCTGGTCGCCGCCGTGGCCGTGGCGGCCGTCCTCGCCGGAGTGGCGTCCGCGGAGAAGGCGGGAGGCTTCGTCGTGACGGGTCGAGTGTACTGCGACCCCTGCCGCGCCGGGTTCGAGACCAACGTGTCC